TTTTTGTTTTATTTTATTGGAGTATAGATGATTTACAATGTTTTATTAGTCTCTGGTGTACAGCAAAGTGAATCAGTTATGCATATACATACATCCCACGCCAGTGTTCTTGCCTGGAAAATTCCATGGACAAAGGAGCTTGGTGGGCTACAGTCCATAGGGATGCAAAGAGTCGGACATGAGTGAGCACACACACACATACATATATCCACTCTTTTTTAGATTCTTTTTCCATATAGGTCAGTACAGAATACCGAGTAGAGTTCCAACAAAAATGAGTTTTAAAGGGAAAGAAAATTACCTTATGTGTGACATGGAACACAAAGTGATAATGATCCAGAGATTCAAAGGCTCTGTAGGGAAAGGAGGTCTGTAGGAGGATGAAAAGATGTTTGTGAAACCTGGAAACAGAATCCCTTTGTCCCCGAGAGAAGATGTGGCCTTGTAGACACAGTGTTTGATCCAAAAACAAAAGGACACCAAAGTTCATAAACAGTCCTGAAATTGAAACTCACAGAATGTTCATGTAAGTCACACTGACCGGTAACAAAAATATATGCTGGCCCATGGACTATGGGATTAGAAGAATTCTCAGGTTTCCTTTCTTATGTGGTCAGCACCTCTAGCAAGATTCCCTAACTAAGGGGATAAAAGGCAAGCCGAACTGAGACACACAGAATCTCTGCCCACTTCTTTTGGTCAATATGATGCTAATAAGGTTCTATGTTCCTGCCCAAATAAATCCGGGAGAAAATCAAATGCTTAATGGGGCCTGGGAGCCGTTCCTTCTTCTAATATAACCTACCAACTCACTCATAACTCCACACACGTTCTTCAAGTTTCTGTATTATATCTAAAGAATAAGCCATACCTTGACAATTCAACACCAAGCAGCAGATTTCATAAATTACAGAGAAAGGCCAGCAATTCAGTCAGCCACCCTTTCCTCCATTAGTGAAATTTCCTGGAATATAGGTTGTTGGACAGGGTAACAAGAAAGCAGAACACCCATCCATCCTGGGTTGCTAGAATCACTATCTAAATGAGATGCCATACCGTAAGCCATCCACCAAAAAAATACCAGTGTGAATTCAGTTCACAAGACAGAAGGCCCTGGCAAAAATGTGTTTTAATACCTGATGAATAGCAAGCATCACTTCTCATTCTGCAGTAATCTAATTCCTTGGGTTATCCGAGATGATTTGGAAAAAAGGGAAAAAATCTAAAAATAAATTTCTTGAAATTATTCAAAAGAAGATATTCTGAAGTTACCAAAAATATCTTTTTTTTTCCTTCAAATTCATATAATCTTTCTCCTAAGGAGAACAGAAAAATTCAATATACAATTTATTCCCAAGAGAATACCTTGGCTTTAAATTTTTTTAAGTCCAAGGAGAAAAAAAAAAAGGAAAGGAAAGGAGGCAGAGAGGGAAATCCTTGAAAATTTCCTATACATTTCTAAATAGATAAATGTTTTCAAATTATAAACTCTTGTCTTCAACTATACACTGTCAGAGTCAGGGGGAGCAATTCCGCTGAACCTGCCAGTTCAAGATCAGAGCAATCAGGTATTTTTATAATCAGTCAGAGTTAGAGAGATGAGACAGGGAAAATGCATGCTTGATGGATGTGCGGATGAAGAGGTTGGTATGTGATGCTTCCTCAGCCATGAGACTGTGTCCACAAGGCCAATCCCAGTTCCTCTGTGTCTAAAAGGATCCAGGTCAGATTTCAGATCTCAGGCTTGCTTGTCAATAAAACTACCTGTGCAGAAACTACTTCCATTAATGGTTCTTAATGATATACTTTGTTAATTCACAGTGAGAAATACAGAGTGCGTATTTTCACTATTGTGAAATATATATTGTGCACTTCAGATACTGGTTCATTTATGACAAAGAAACATCCTTAAATTACAATACCCAACTGAATAGGGCTGTTCTTAAGAAACCTAGAGGATATATCCAATATGTGAATACATACAACAATAAAATTAACCACTCCAAGTCACCTAAAATAAAAACCAATAATAGGAATAATAGGAATAAAAAAAAAAATCACAAATTAATTAAATCAATGTAGAAACCAGAGGCTAATCCTGCAAAGTTTCATGAATTTACGGACTGAATGACAACCATATGAGAAATAAGTAATGCAAATTTCCAATCCCCATGACTTCCAAACACTAGTCCTAAATTTACTAGAAACGGTCGACAATTTAAACCATGCTTTATAAACCTTCATATTTTAAGTATAATTCTGCAAAAGAAAGGGGATTAACCAGAAAATACTAATTGAGCTTTTCAAAACTATTCAACGCACCAACAGCAAAAATGTTCGTAACATGAGTTTGTGTGTGTGGTTTTTCTATCAAGCTCCTGTAAACCAGTGAGAGACGGGAGAGATTTACCCAGGATTCTCCGGCACATGCTACAGAATGTCTAACTGCGCACATCCACCTCCACTGAGAAGCAGGCATGTTCTGTCCTAGCAGCTTAAACCTCTAAAAATTAAATGATGCATTTACTGAGACTGTACTATTAGAAAAAAACATTTATGCAGTATCATCTGTGTCATTATGCATAAATTAGTGCGCTTGGTGTTACTCCTTGAAAGTGCATATTCATAGAAATGTGGGTCAAGATTAAGCAAATTAACTGCTCTTCTATTAACCATTTACTTCGTAATATATGCTTATGATTTAAAAAGTATAAAAGAGAAAAGAAAAAATAACCATCTTTCTCTCACTTACCTTTCTGTAATAAATGATTCATATTTCCATCCACAAAACTTTCAAAAATATGCAAATTATTTTTATAAGGTACTAAGTATTTAAGTATTTGAAGTAATCATGTATATGATACTCTCCTTTAAAATGTAATGTGAATCTCTTAGAATGCCACCTTATATGGAATCATGTTTCTGCTTGGTCCTCCACATAAGGACACTATACACAAAATCTGTCTAAACAGCTACCAAACCTACCCACATTGCTATGCCCTACACCTCTTAATATACTTTGCTACTTTATATAACTGAAGTATAAAAATGCACAAGTTAGAGATAAACTAAATATGAAATATACATTTACCATTTGTTGATTTTTATTTAGATTAAGTCTCTGGGTTCTAACAATGTATTTGTGTTTTAACTTTGGACATATTTCTAACATAACTAAATAGGGCAATAGAGTTAGGGCCAGTGTTACCAGGACATAGTAACATAAGGAAAAATGGTTATATTATTAAACCAGTTAGTATAGATTTTAATTTTAATCATATCACAATTACATATTTTAAGTAATAAAAACTTTTAAAAATGATGTCCATTTTTAAAATGAAATAGAAATAATGTTTCAACATACTTGGGTAATTTCTCTTTCATCGGATATAATTGCCTTAATAGGAATATAGATTTCAAGTAATATACTTTAATATAATAACATTACCTTTGATTTAGACATAAACCACTACTAACACAAATCTGTGTCATCTCTTCTAAAATCTGTTCTTCAGCTTAAAAAAATAGACTACTAAAGTAAATAAAATAGACATTTCTCTATAACTTATTATTACTTAATTCATATAACTTTAAATAATCTAAGATATAGCTAAAAAAAATTATGACTCTTGTGAACAGCAGACTTAAATCTTAAATAAACCTTAGATCTGTAAAAACCTGCTGGTTGCCAATTTTCACCCAAGCAGAACAGAAAGTTTAATGTACAATCTACTTCCAAGAGAAAAACTTGCCTTTACTTGGAAGGTGGGGTACATAAAATATACATTAGGTGTGGCAATATTCAGAACTTCAGTCATAATAGAGTAAAATTTTCTACTAAACCATTTCAATCATTTTCATCCGAACAGAATTTTAATATCAGTTTCTCTATGACACAGTTTCAGTACTCCATCACTACATTTCAAGAGTCTTTGCAAATAATAAAAAAACTGGATTAAAATTTGTTTTTAAAGAATCTCTTTCCTTCTTTCTGGTAGAGATGATAGACTGCTTCCCAATTATCACACAGCATCCCATTTGCTTTCACAGTAAACTTTTAAGTAGTGAAAGATGTCCTTTCTGAGCATAGGAATGATTGCAAAGACCAACAAAGAATCACCGGTGGGTAAAGTTCACTTTGTTTAATGAACAGTAACACTCGGGACTCTTCAGGATGGATCAATTAGGTAATGGGATTTTAAAAATTAAGAAGTAAGGAAGTCCTACTTTTCTTTTAACTTCACTTGCATCAGTCACATTTAAGAGTTGGAATGTTTAAAGGAGGAGTACCTCCCAATGTGATTGCAGGACCCATGTGTGAGATGGAATTCTATTCTTAGACTTGTTACAATTTTCCCTAGTAATTAGGAAGCTATATGTCCTGGATAGAATGATGCTAACAAGCTCCTGCAGTTTCTACTCTAGCAAGAAATCAAAGGGACCCAAAACAGACAACTCACTTCAGCTAAAGGATTATGCAGTCTGGTTATTAAAGCTAAGCTCTTCTACCATTTTCTATCTGAAGAGACTTTCTAAAAGAGTCAGATTCTACAGCCAAGATTATTTACTCAAGAAGAAAGAAAACTCAAGAATGGTCATGGAATGTATTTAGGGGGAAAAAAATATATATATATATATATATACACACAAGTTATTAGAAGAGGCTCATTTCAGATAACTTGTACATTTTTAAACTTTCCCAAAGAAAGATGGGAAGATATCATTATAAAAACCATCTATAACCTCCTGGTAATTTCTCATGGGACATCAACACTCTTCCCCCATTTAGAGAGGGTTACTATTAAATTTACAGTTAGTTGGAATCTTTCTTTGGAAATACAAAGCCATGTAGGAATCAACGGAGCTGACATTTACAAATATGTTTCAGATGGGTCAATATAACCAAATAAACATGATGAGACAAATAGAACACCTAGAAAATGGAAAATGTAGAAGAAGAAGAAGGCTTGGCCCAACCAACAAGAGCGACACTCACATACCTTAAGGACTTCCATCGGCACCTGGGTGGCAGAGGGGAGGGTGGTGGGCACGCTGACGTTTATGGCTGGAGTCTGACTCACAGGCACTCTCTGTTGCATGAACTGGGCCGCCTGCAGCTTCTGCTGCTGCTCCCTGCGTTCCTGCTCCTGCATCTGCTCACGCATGAGTTGCTGGCGTAGCAAGATGCGTGATGTCATACTGGAGGAGCTTATCGGAGGCTTGGAGGCCCCAGGATGCTCCTCGGAACTGCTGTGGGGAAACAGAAAAACCCATATTAAGTTCCTAATGAGAACTTTCATTTGCATTTTGGGGTATCCTAAATTGCACCAAACTATGAAATGAGCCTGTGCAAAATATAATCAGATCGCAGAGTAGTATTCCACCTAATTGAAAATCAAGAGCTGACAGGATTTAAGTATCAGTAGTTGAATTAAAATAAGTCGGTTTGATTGCATCGAGGCATTTTTATCATACAGCTTATTTTTTTTTTTGACATTTTATATCGCCTACTACTCATCACCACCAAATATAGTGCTGCCATATGAAGTGCCAAGAAGCAAGGCATCTTAATGGTACCCGGAGTTTCACATTTAAAAATAATTTGCTTGATTTCCTTTTATAGTCGAATCTAGCCAAATAACAACTCCTGTATATTATCTAAATTCCTTGAAGATATCTAAACTGTTTACTAACACACAATAGTTCAAAGAAAAGGTGAACTCTGTCATGGGGAAATTTTTCTACAATACAAGAAGTGAAGTCATTAAAGAAGCCTTTGGACCAGAATCTTAACACTGAACTCAACCTCAGTCTTTAAGAAAGAGGGCAGAAGACAAGTTAGTTTGACAACTCCATTCTTCTTTGCCTGGTTTTCTTTGTACAGTCTTTTCTTCTGATTCTTCTTGGCAAGTCCTATCTAACACGTATTCTATGAGTTCCCTATGAGGCCTGCCTCTAATGGTGCTGGTGCTTACTCTACCCAAAATCATTTAAGAAGCTTAAATACTTGTCACAAGTCAAGAAGAAAGGACTTCTTGATTTTCCTAAATATAGATTCCTATTGTTTATCTTGCTAGCTCTGTGACATCAATAAGTAAATAAATCTCTCTCTGCCTTAGTTACCATGTCTGAAAAAGAGGAATAACAATATTTTAACTTATTTACTCATTTTTCAAAATGGGAGATGCTTTTTAAATGTCTTTTGCACCATTTATACTCGAAAGCCCTACCTGTTAGGAATTTTGTGAGGATTAAACAAAATAATGAATGAAATAATACACATAAATCCCTTAATATAATGAGTGCTATGCAGTACTGCCTCAATAAATGTTTGTTGTTGCAATTACTATTATCTAGAAACTTTCATTGTTTCTAGTAATATCATTTTCTTAAAAAAAAAAACAGTTTAGGGCAAAGAATATAAAACCTTATTTAGCACCTGGAAACAGAAAGAACAGTAATATTTAGAAAATATTTATATTCACATCAAAGTTATTCTTCCAGAGAAGTATCTGTACCTTTAAGCTTCTTTCCTTGAACATAAATCCCAATATCATCCTTATCTTCTAACAAAGGCAAAATAAAGTCTTTAAATTACTGACCAGTCTCATAAACTTCTTAAAGCTAACAATCTTCAAATTCTTCAGGTTAAAAGTACTAGAGAATAAAGAAATGTTTGCATTTCACCTTCACATAATTCCAGAAAACTATATAATAAAAATTATACTAGCATTTAACTCATTACTTAGCACAGAAACCTGGTTCAATAGCCTATGAAAAGTTCATATAAAATAATGCTGTTAATATATAGTCATAAAAAATGGTATAGAGATATGGTTGTGAATTAAAACTATATAATACAGTAAACTTAGGAAATCCTGCTATTAGAAAGGTATGATTAAACTTAAAAAAATGTTTACTACGAGAAAAATTACAAAGATAATGCTACCCTGAGCCATTGTGGGAATATAATACCACAATCCTCTAAGAAAACGACAATATTATCAACTGATTCAGAAATTTCACTGATGGATAACTTTCCTAGGAAAATAATTCAAAACATGCAAAACCTGACATTACAAAGCTGTTGACAAATTGCACAGTATTCTGTCCACTAACATGGGCATGATTACATAAATTATGAGGGGAGGCGTGGGTTAAACAATACAAACTTTCAGTTATAAGATGAGTAAGTTCTGAGGATCTAAAGCACAGCATGGTATCTATAATTAACAATCCTGCATCGTACACTTGAAATTTCTGAGAGAGCAGATCTTAAGTGTTCTCATCACACACAAAAATATGTAAGTAACCATGTGAGGTGATTAATGTGTTTCACAATGAATACATGTGAAAAATCATCCCACTGTACACCTTAAATAGTTTTGTTAATTATACCTCAATAAAGTTGAGGAAATAAATAAAACCATTCAAAAGATTTAAGCATAAAACAGGTTAAAAAAAAAAAGGAAATTATGGACTTCCCTGGTGGTCCAGTGGTTAAGATTCTGCATTCCCAATGCACGGTACACGAGTTTGATCCCTGGCTGGGGAACTAAGATCTCCCATGCCACATAGTGCAGCCAAACAACAAAAATAGTAAATTATGATACATATAGATTTGATAATATACCTTTTTTTAAAAAATTGCTCAGCACACAGCAAAGTGCAGAATCCATGTCCTAAGACAAATTAAAAAGTAGAATCAAAAGTGGATGTCCATTCTAATCTAGAATAAGTAGAGTGTATGTATGTACACAAATACACACATGACTAGCAAAAGGATGAGAGTTGCCAAAGTGGCAGTGGGATTATAGGTAAATTTCTTACTCTTTACTTTTCCCCCTATAAACCATAACGTCACCATATTTTTTTCAGTGGCAGGATATATGTCACTAATTTCAAAACATGAGGAACATGAATTAACTTATAAGCATGAAGAAGTGACCTGAGTGATCAAAGTCACCGTTTGGCTGGAAGAGACTAGATCCATCCTAGAGAGCATTTTGACAAACAGGATGGGGAAGTGCTGACTTGTATCCAGCACACTGGTTCTCTTGGAAGTCTTCAGCATCCCAGAAGACTTAGACCCTCTTTCCTTTATAGTTTCCTACAGATATACAAAGACTGAACAATGCTAATACCCAGTTTATTACTTTCATATCATGCATTCATCTACACCATAAAAATACCCCATCATTCCTCAAAAACACTCCATTCACCTGCTCAGGTTCTGCTAAAAGAGCACCGAAAGAAAATGCATTTTTCCCACTTCTGAGTATGAGTTCAGAGCTCAAATATACTTTCCTAAACTCAGAAAAGAAGGCTATTTAAAAATAAATAAATAAATAGATGGTCTTGCTATTCAAAGCCTGTCAGGTTAAAACATTCCCAGAGAGACTGATCCTTTTGATAGAAACAGGAGCAAACCTTTGTGCCTTGGCAAATGCAGCTGTGGAAAAATCGCACTAATTAGCTGCTCAAGACAAGCCATTGGCTGTGATACCAGGGGAAAAAAATCCTTTCAATTAACAGTAAAGCATTCTTGAGACGTCTTAAGTTAAAATTACTAGTCATCAACCTCTAAGGTTGCAGACTTTAAAGTCAACAACAGTATCATTTAAAACATTTACTGAAATATCCTATTAGGAAAAAAATTACATATTTATATGGTAGACCCATATAAATAAATTAAACCCACACACAAAAAAATCTAGCAAGGCTCAGCTAATTGACATTTGAGTAAGTCTTCTCAAAAATAAGGAAAAAGAGTCACTTCACTGCACACATACCCTACTGGATATTTCCATGTTAAAGATGACTCTCAGATTCTCAGCTTTCCTCTATCTGTTAAACATCACTTCCTCTTAGAAATAATTGAATCTGCAGTTATCACCCTATTGACAAAAACAAAGATACCTACACATCAAAATGTCAGCAGGTCACATGAGCAAGTTTTAAACTCAAAGTCGAGTTTTATGTGAGAACATTACAGATGGCCAAGAGCTTATTTTTAAAATGAGGACCTGATGCTTCAACTACTAACAATAAGACGAGTTGTCTCAATGTATTTAGTTTTAAAAGCTGACCGAACTCATCCAGGGCCCATGAACCTCCATGTGCATTAGGTGATCCTAATTTCATCAGTCTGATTCCTTTTAATCAGATTATGTAAAGGTCATTTATTCAACAAATAGCTATTGAGGGTTTCCCCTGTGCCAGGTGCTGGGAATACCTGGTTTCTAATCTCAATGAGTTTAAAAGGCAGGGTCGTGTAATTTTTTTAAGATGCCTTAAAATTAAGTCAATTATCTAGACTACTGGACTCTTATCTAGTTCCATGTGGGAAGGTGTACATCTCACCACAGGAAGTCACCCTTTGAAAGCCAACTGAAAGGGAGGCAAATGCCTTAACTGGCACTTACCCACATCACTAAGAGCAGGCAACTTCCTGGAAAACTGGGAATTGCTCAGTGGTGACTCAAGGAGTATGGCCATCAATTGGACACAACTTCTAGTTCAGTCACTGCTGACCAATCTGATCTTTAACGAGCCACTCAACTTCTCTGAACCTCTCCAAAACCCACCTCCTAAACGTACAACAATGACTGAGGGAGCGAATGCCAGCTAAGTGATAGTGATAGCACATCAGCTAGGATATGGGCACTTAGATAAGTAGCCATAAACATGACCTGGGTTCCTAACTTGATGGCTGAATTTACATTTTTAACCTTCAAAGCCTGACCCTTCTCTGTGATGGTAGAGATATGTGGACATGTGCTCTGTGAATCACTGGTATATTCATAAATTCAAAGAGTTAATTCCTTTGCCTTCATCAGCGACTTAAATATATCAGAAATCTCATGAAATCCAGTATCTCACCATCGAAACAACACTTGCCTGACCAATCCTCACCTTTCATGGTGATGCCAATACCCCTCCACCAGACCTTAGGAATCAGTCTTTGGTCTCCATATCACAATCATCCAAGACATGAATCTGGTTGTCAGCTGCAACTTAGCCTCTAGGCTCAAGAAGCTGATGCACTTTCCCCTGCCTTTCCTCTCATCAATTCCTCAGGCAGAATACAGTCCTGGCCTTTACTACCTTTACTAACCTGTGACCATGGCCAAGTCAGTCAGTCTCTCTGAGCTCTGGTTTTCTATATTTATAGATTGTTTAATACATTTGCCTCTTGGCATCATAAGGAGGATTAAAATTTGTAACAGAGGTAAAAAGCTTATAACCAA